AATAATAATAATAATAATAATAATCTTTATTCCAACCTAGATACAAAACTGCAAACACAACAAAAAATTAAAAATTATATAAAGTAGGTATAAATTAAGGCAGTGCGAAAATAAAAGAAAACTTAGCTTAAAGATAATGTACTAGGTGAAATAATACTACACCAGTAAGAGTAATGAGAATAAAATTACTCTAAACACTGGGAGGAAAAGCAAATCCAAGATCATGCTACAAACGCCATACACACATACAGAAATCTAAATAGAGATCAACAGATATAACTATTTAAATTTAATGGACATATTTTCAGCTAAATAAAATGTACGCAACGTATCGCTAGTGAAGCATTGGTGGAAATGAAGATGTATAACATAAACTACTGTAAAACTGTAAAATTAACTTAAAATAAGATACATGTTTTCCAACTCAGTAGTCGTTTTAGTAAATAAAAATTCCTTAGCTCTTTTCTTGAACACCCGAACCGATAGTTCAAATATACTTTGAGAGTAATGGTTAAAAAAATAATTACAAAATTTTGGACCGAGGAACAAGAATGTTTTTTGAAAAAACGATTTAGTGACTTTAGGTAGACGCAGCAGTTTCTTAGAATATTGTCGAGTATTGTGAATTCCAGTCCCCAGATCAACTGTTATTCCAAAGCCACTACTCATCTGATAAAATAGATCAAGAACTTTGAATACATATAGATAACGAAGGGGAAGCACACGAAGAGAAAGAAATAAGGGAAAGGAAGAAAAATACCTGCTTTTACCGTAAATCAACCTTATGTAACGTTTCTGTAGTGTTTGAATACATCTAAGATAGGAGATATACGTACCACCCCAAAAGGCTATGCCATAAGATAATTTAGAGTGAACAAGCGCAAAATATACTTGCTTCAGTATTGCTACGCCACAAAGAGATTTTAAATGGTAAAATGTCCTGAGTGAGATTAGTAAAAGTTGTTTTATCCTCTGTATATGACTTTTCCATGTTAATCCACTATCAAGGCAAATACCTAAGTATTTAATAGAATTTGTTTCTTTTAGTCTAGGACAGTGACACTTAGTACTACTTAAGCAAGATATATTATGAAAGATAAGTGGGTTAAGAAAATTTGCACTGTTGTCAATCCCAAAATTAATAACCATTGTTTTCTCGGTGTTTAGAGATATCCGATTGTATGTAAACCACAATTGGAGCTTCCTAACGTCCGACTGGATTGTTTTATGCAGTTCTTCGATATTATTATTTGAGTATACAAAAGCAGTATCATCCGCAAAAGCTGTAACAGAACCTTCGAGTGTGCCAGAGAGAAGGTCGTTAGCAAAGATCAGAAATAGGATCGGGCCAAGGACAGAGCCTTGAGGCACCCCCACTTTAATCAAATGCTCAGAACTATTCGATTGTCCGATTTTAACGTATTGCTTCCTGTTTGATAAATAGCTGCGAAACCATTGCAGTGGAATGCCTCTAATCCCAATCCGTTCAAGTTTCTCCAACAAGAGTGTATGATCCACGGTGTCAAATGCTTTGCGAATGTCGAGGAAAACTCCAGTGACACTATGCCCAAGGTTAAGGTTTTCATAGATTTCTTTCAAGAAATTACAGAGTGCCATTTCTGTGTTACGACCTTTCCTAAAACCAAATTGCGCCCTATGTAGAAAATTAGTCATAGATAAGAAAGTTAAAAGTCGTTTCTTAACTATTTTCTCAAGAATTTTAGAGAGAGTGCTCAACAAAGAAATGGGTCTGTAATTCTCAACGTTTGTGGGATTACCTGATTTAAATATTGGTATTACAGTCGCAGTTTTCAGTGCATCTGGAAAGACACCTTGTAGAATACTTTTATTAAATAACTCGGCTAAGACATGAGAGTTTTCGGGAATTATCTTCTTCATGGTACAAGGAGAAACCCCTAACAAGTCAATGGAAGAAAGGGACATTGTCACTTCTACTATTTCATCAGAAGTAACAGGAGCAAAGAAAAGAGAAACGGTAGAACACTGTAATTTAAATGTTTGGTTATAGTCGTTAAGTTGTTGAGGACTTAGTGTAGCTACCTTCTTAATGACATTACTAGGCACTGCAGCGAAATGATCATTGAAAGCTTGCGCCACTTCATGAGATTCATCAATAGTCAAATTATTAATACACAGTTTAAGATCCTTAATCTTTAGTTTAGAACTACCAGTGTATGAATTGATGGTATGCCATATTTTTTTTGGATTATTAGAACTTATGATAGAAGAAAAATAATTCCTTTTAGCGATCTTAATCCAAGATTGAATATTTTTTTTTATTCGAAGATATTGATCTTTAAGTCGCTGATCATTTGGGAAGTTTTTTAATTTATGGTAGAGTTTGTCCCTATTAATAATTGCGAGACATAACCCATCGGTAATCCACGGCTTTAGTTTTTTTTATGTTCTTAGAATTCTGTGGATTGGTAATAGTATTTTTTGACGAATTAATGTAGTTGATTAGCTTTTTGATAAATATATCAAATGACTCATTGACATCTTTGCTAATAAATACGCTATCCCATGTTTCATTTCTTAATAATTTAAGGAGATTGTTATAATCGACAAAACATTTATATTGATAAACACGGGGAGTGATGCATCCTATTGAAGGTAAAATCAAGCACGTGGCCCTATGATCAGTGATATCAGTATTTATTACTAGAGAAATTATGTTCTGTAAGTTTATTGATCTAACAAAGATGTGATCTAAACAGGAAGTAGAAGTTGTCGTAATTCTTGTTGGAATATCTATTATCGGATGAAGTCCATTTGAGGCTAATAATTCTTGAAACTTGTTAACTTCAGTATTATCTCGGAGCAAGTCGATATTAAAGTCCCCAACGCAGATAAGTCTTGGGAGCTTTAAACTGGCTAGACAATTCTCAAAATTTGTTAAAAAGTCACTTATGTTATAAGAATGCCATCTGTAAACACTTAACAGCGAGTAATAGAGATTATTAATCGACAAGGAAACTAATATCGAATCCGACCCTAAGATTTCGCACTCACACTTATCAACCTTAATTTGAGGAAGATCCTTAATAAAAACAACTAGACCTGCCGCTCTATTCCCACCCTGGCCGATATCAAAGATAGAAATATAGCATATATATTATATTATATATCATACGAGTACCAGCGAAATAACTTTTTCCTCCAGAATGTTTATTTGGAACACCCTCTATTAATTAAAGTTGTTCTGTAACGTACGATCCATTAAATTTAATCTCACTTTGGCTGGCTGGCTGGATGGATGGCTGGCAGCAAATGCTGGCCCGTAGAAGAACGCTTGTAGAAAAACAGACATATTAACAACTATCGGGACGGGGCGACATCTGGGCCCCATTCTCCAGCGTGATGTACTAACCTGGTGATTTTTCAGGCTTCTACAGGTTTGGTCCGATTGTTTTCAAATTAGTGTTGTCGGAAAGATCTTGTAAACACGTACAGCGTCTGTGTGGTGGAATTTTTTTTCCTATGGGTGAAATTAACCGCCTTTTGCAAGGCGCGCGTCTTCGAGGGGTGGTCGACTTCGGGCGACCAAAAGGTATCAGCCGTTGCGAATTTTGTCACTCGGTTTAAAGTTTCTTAAAGCTCGGGTCACGATCTCTCTTCCTCGTTTCGCCAATACAAGTGCAAGTTATGAGAAGTGCCTCAAAAATTGAGGTGCCATTTTGTGGAGAGTTTATAGGAAAATTCACCAAAATGCGAATTGCTGGTCAACGGGACGTCGAAAGCAAGTACCGACAAAGGGAGTGTCGTTGCCCTCGACTGCAAGATTTTACTGATGGACGAGTCAACACTTGTGACTCAACAAAAATGCGATGAAAGTCCCTTCGATCTCACACGAGGACTTTGGTAATTTAGGCAATTTAGTATAGAATGTAATGCTGGTTTCACTAACTGAACTATTTTAGCACTAATATACCGTATATTTCTAATTCATTCGAATGTAGTCGTTTTTAAGAACAATATGTAGAACGTTGTTAAAAGTTGAAGTAATGTTCTGCACTGTTCCTGGGGTGCACAATATACGACAGTATAATAATTAGTATTTTTTCTAACGAAGAAATTCATTGTGGCATGTTTCATTTCACTCAATTGAAATAGTCCTGGTCGTTCTTGGCAATTATTGACCTGTCCTTAAGGGTACCTATACAACTCCCGTACGTGATTGGAGGATTTTCTATTCTTTAGATAATCGAAACACGCCGTAGAGAATTAAATGTAATCATATAAATAAGTTGGAAAATTTCATCAAAAGCTGTTCGATGACCCCTCACTGTTGTCGGGTTCGCGAATATTAAATAATCAAATCGAAAACGTCTGCCTATTCATTATACTATTTATAAATAAAGCTCATCTCATCGATTGTATGGATACGGAAAATTCGAGAATAATGGAAACTGGATATCAATATTCCTTCTCGCCCAAATTCAAGTTTCTCGTGCATTAATTTGAATTTAAGTGTCCTTGTAATCAATTTTTTTAAATTTTTATTAAAAATGATTTATTCATAAGGAAAACTAATTTAACTCGGAGAAATGGAAATGCTACAAATGCAAGAGACGGGTCAAAGACCTAATGAAAATATTTCATTGTATTAAATACACTGATCTGTATAATTACAGTTACTACCCCAAAATTAACAGCGAAAGTATGACAATGAAATTTATTGTAATTTATACCCATATATCACATCAGAGCATCGACTATTTCGGTGAAATTATTGTACAACTATGTAAATAATGATTACGTAAACTCTACCCACTATATAAACCCTTGCGAGCCCAAAACTAACCACTGTAGCAGCTCTTTCAAGCCAAGCACTATGTACAAACTGGTAAATACATTCACATTTTAGATACCAAACGTTACCATTATTTTCTATAGGTTATCCTGTCTGTTCTTCTCTGCGCCGTCTTCGGTGCCGAAGTTAAACCGGTAGAAGAACCGAGCAAAGTTCCAGTCGCCGCCCCGTACTCCGCTTATCCATACGGAATCCACGGATATCCGGGATATCACCCGTTCAACGGATTCGCCGGTTTCCCCTACACGCATAGCGCTTACAGCTCTCCCATCGCCAAAGCTGCCTACAGCCACCAGTACCACTTCGCTGGACCCTTGGAAAACTCCGCAGTCCACCCATATCCCGTTTTGCACGGCTCGCCATACGGTGTTGCTCCCGTCCCAAGCCACTTCGGGTACCCAGTCGCCTACGATGCCTCGAGACCTGCCGATTTTGGACGTAGCGTCCAGAGCAAAACAGAATAAGTTTTCGATATTCGCTGTCATTCCTTTTAAAATGCAATAGTTACTAAATAAACAGATACTCAACCTAGTACTATTACTAATTATGAATGCTAATTATAATGCATACGATTTCCACGTCTAGCTAGGTCACAGTAATAATTCTTTTACATAGGTACCTATACATGGCAAGAAATTCAAAATAAATTGAATGAACTTAAACAAGAGTGCAGAAAGGAATTCGGAATTACCTTCAAGAGAAAATTTATTTTTTTATTATTTTATTATTATTATTATTGGACTTAATGTTGCTCCAAATTCTTTTCAGAGAATGATGTCAATTGCTTTTTTTTTCTGGTTAACCACTATCATCTTGTTTTTTATACCTAGATGACTTAATGGTGCTAGGATCTTCTGAAAATCATCATTTGAAAAATCTTAAAGAAGTGTTTGAAACTAGGAATTTTAATCTTAAATTCAATCCCTATAAATGTCAATTCTTTAAAAATGTAGTTACGAGCACAAATGTACTGATAAAGGAATATTACCAGACGATTCGAAATTTGAAATTATTCGAAATTACCCTCAACCTAAAAATAAGGATGCATCCAAACGTTTTATTGCATTTTGTAATTACTGTAGAAGATTCATTCCTAATTTTGCGAGCATTGCATATCCATTAAATAAATTAACAAGGAAAAAATGGTAATTTAGATGGACAGATGAATGTAAATTAGCTTTTAATCAACTTAAATCATTTCTTTGTGAACCTCCAATTCTTCAATGTCCTGATTTCTCAAAACCATTTATTATAACGGTTGATGCAGCAAAACATGGAACAGGTGCTATACCCTCACAGAAAATTAACGGCGAAGATCACCCCATATCTTATGCGCCATAAAGTTTGACAATTGGAGAACTTAACAAATCAACTATAGAAAAAGAATTAACAGCTATTCATTGGGCTATAAAGTTCTTCAATCCATACATTTTTGGTTCAAGATTTACAGTTCGATCAGACCACAAGCCTTTATCTTATTTATTTTCTTTAAAAGATCCTACGTCTAAATTAGCTCGAATGCGTATGGATATTTCAGAATATGATTTCGAAATTGAATGCATTCCTGGAACGGATAATGTAGGTGCGGACGCATCGTCTAGAATTGATGCCACTTCCTCCTTGGCTTCAATTGTACCTTTTATTTTTCTCCATTATTAAGGTTTTGGAAACATTCTTCATATTTTCCCTTGGATTTTAAAGGTGTTAGATTTTCAATTGCCTCTTTGGCTTTGCCAGAAAATTTAGAAATTTTGTCCCTTCGTTTGAACTTTTTGCAAAACGGTTTCACAGCTTGTTTATTTGGTTATGGACAAACCGTTGTTATGGTAATTATATTACATAATTCCGGGTAAAATGATTATATTTTCAAATTAAAGTAGCAATTTTAAACTATTATAGACTTATATCATATTATATTAGTCGATATAAAATCTGATTAATATCTTTTAATTCCGAAGTACACAAAAAAATAGCATGTTCTACACGTAAGAAAAGTGGTTTTCCAGCTTGTGAAAATTGCAACTATTTTCACTAACTGGAAAACTGTCATTTTTCTTTACTTGTAGAACTATAGAAACCAATTTCGAAAGAAAATTCAAAGAGCTGTAACTTTTGAACTAGTAGCCCAATCTTGGAACTGTTTGAAATTATGGATTCTACAGGCCACATTTATAAGAAAATTTTTTCCGGGTCGATCTGAGACAATTTTTTTTTCGGGGTCAAAAAAAGGCAGTGTATAACCTTCCTTTTTTTTTACCAAAAATCGACTGCACCAAAATTTCTCGGGAAAACACTTTTGCTTATTAATTTTGGTGCGTAGAATCCAAAACAATTCGTACTTTTTCGATCAGACTTCTCAATCAAAAGTTATAGACTAGGAACCAATTTCGAAAGAAAATTCAAAGGGCTGTAACTTTTGAACTAGTAGCCCAATCTTGGAACTGTTTGAAATTATGGATTCTACAGGCCACATTCTATAAGAAAATGTTTTTTCCGGATCGATCTGAGACAATTTTTTCTTCGGGGCCCAAAAAAAGGCAGTGTATTACCTTCCTTTTTACCAAAAATCGACTGCACCAAAATTTCTCGGGAAAACACTTTTTCTTATTAATTTTGGTGCGTAGAATCCAAAACAATTCGTACTTTTTCGATTAGACTTCTCAATCAAAAGTTATGGACTAAAAACCAATTTCGAAAGAAAATTCAAAGGGCTGTAACTTTTGAACTAGTAGCCCAATCTTGGAACTGTTTGAAATTATGGATTCTACAGGCCACATTCTATAAGGAAATTTTTTTCCGGGTCGATCTGAGAAAATTTTTTTTTCGGGGCTCAAAAAAAGGCTTCCTTTTTTACCACAAATCGACTGCACCAAATTTTCTCGGGAAAACACTTTTTCTTATTAATTTTGGTGCGTAGAATCCAATACAATTCGGACTTTTTCGATCAGACTTCTCAATCAAAAGTTATAGACTAGAAACCAATTTCGAAAGAAAATTCAAAGGGCTGTAACTTTTGAACTAGTAGCCCAATCTTGGAACTGTTTGAAATTATGGATTTTACAGGCCACGTTCTATAAGAAAATTTTTTTTCGGGTCGTTGTGAGACAATTTTTTCTTCTTTGATCTTATTGGATCATCACTTTTGTATATCAAGCGTTATATTACAGTTTAGAGCAAAATCACTTCGGGGCTCAAAAAAAAGGCAGTAATAACCTTCCTTTTTTACCAAAAATCGTTCGTCCGACGCGACGTTTACGTTTACGGTGCGAACTCGGTGTGGATATGTTTGGCTATTGTGGTCGCGAGCATAATTGGTTACTTTGTTTTTCTACCCACCTTGGTCAACCTGAAGAGGCCCAACGTGTGCGAGTACCCTCACCTGCGATTTGATAGGAGAATTCAAGTAATCGCGTCGTGTCTTTACACCATCTAGAACTATTTTTTTACTCAGGGTGCTGTCTCACTTAAAAACTTTTAATTAAAATTTCAAAGGACCTACCAGACATTGCAAAACTCAAATGCACTGGAAAGTATTTTTTATTGGATCATCACTTTTGTATATCAAGCGTTATATTACAGTTTAGAGCAAAATCACTTTCGAACATTGATAACAGCAGTTGGTTGGCCAAACACTAAGTCGGGAATCTATAAAATTGTCCACTGTTAAATGTAATATCCTCCATAGTAAGGATAGGAATATCCCGACGAGTATCCGTAGCTGTAAGGGTAAGAGCCGTAGTAAAATTGAGGACGTGGTCCGGGTGCGGCCACGGCCAGGGCAAGCAACATGGCGAAAACCAGAATTAACTAAAACTGATTAATTACACTTTATACTCGTACAATGCGACTTACCAATTTGAACATGATCTCTGTATGTATTCGAACACACAATGCAATTGTCCAAAATCCAACCGCTTATATACCTAGTGCTTACCACCGCAAATGACTGATCATTCATCGCTCATCAAAATGTCGCACACGTACCTTTCTGTTCAATTACATGAATGCAAACACGAAACAAATTTGCGCAACGTCAAAAATCGGCCTCATTAGCATTGGAAGTGGGTTACTAATGAATTATGTGTTTACAATTATACTTGATAATGCACGTTACGTGATCGACATCAATTAGCAGAACAAGGATGAGTTGTCAATGAAACTGAAAGTGGCGATTTGGCAAAAACCAAATATGTTCTTCAAAAACTTGTGACCTTCATTCTCAAATCTGTATTTTAACCACGACCCAGTAACAGGATCCGTGTTTTTTACGGAAATGCACGTTTTGAAGCACCAGGAATCCGAATCAAACAAACTTTCGATGATGTCAATATGTCGGTCTGCTTGTCTGTAGGTACTTTCCCCCAGCCCAGGTTTATTTGCCAGTAAATTACGTACTACAGGATGAGTAGAGAAACTTACTTATTTCAGTTGGTAGTACTGAAGCGATGACTGTTGGGTTGGCAGCAAAGTCATCCGAAAGGGTGTTGATCCATCCCCTCTAACTAATCATTCATTCCGTGCCCATTTCAATCTTGATCCCCGTGCCCATGTTCCTGGCCGAGTTTTTTTATGGGTAAATAACTTCAAAGAAGCTGGTGATGTAAAGAAATAGAAACCTGGGCTTCCACGAACACTAAGATCAGCTCAAAATATTGACATTTTTTTTCCATGGTTCTTTGAAGAGAACAACCAAGCAGTCATTGTGACTGCAGACCGATATGTCAACGTGGTTCAAGAATTTTTCTTGCCAGCACTTGAAAAAATGGATGTAGAAGAAGAGTAGTTCCAGCAGGATGGAGTCATGGCACACATCGCACCAATATCAATTACTGTTTTGCGGTAACACTTTCCAGTACTTTCTGTGGGGGTCATTGGTCTAAAGGGATCGTCCTGAATTGAGAAACAACATTGGTCGCGCTGTTGCCAACATACTCGTCGATATGCTGCAGAGAGTTAAAAAATAACTTTCAAAATCGACTGAGACAGTGCATATAGACGCTATTTACCAAACGTAATGCGGTGCGGGTGATATCTGTGCTAGACGCAAATTTCTATTTCTAGTATAAATGAGACAGATTATCAACTTGCGAAATATAGGCTTTTTAAAAAGAATTTCACCTGTATTCCACTATCTTAGGTAGAACTACGAATTGTATTTTCTTAGAACAGCTTTTTAAAGAGCGTGGGAGCTCTATCAATTGTTAAAATGGAACTTATACCTACTCTGGCGAGACGCTACAATGAGACGGTGTGGGTTCTCCAAGCTGAATTTCAGTAATTGTTAAGAGCAACTTTGCTGTTTTTAAATAATTCGATTTTACATTACCTTCAATTTCGTAGAGGTCCTTGGGCTATTTAATAATTACTATGCTCTAAAGTCAGGGAACACTTGCATACGTCAATTTTAGATTCGATGGGAACGTTTTATAATAAAATTTCCTTGCGAACATTTTCATTTGTTATTGCTAAAGATACGACCCCAAAAATGCAACGAAAAAGTTCAGGTTATTAGTTAGAATAGACCTTTGAATA